ATTTTTTCTCAAAGAGTTTTTAGAGATAATCTTACAGTGATGAGTCAGTGTCTTATGAGCTCTGTAGTACTCTTCTTCTATTTTCTCTCAAAGGGTTTTTTAGAAGTTTAATAAGACTATACAAGTATAAAATTTCTAAAGCAGTTAAGAAAAGAAAGAGATATTTAAAATTAATAAAGATTAATATTATTAATCTGCAGACTGCTGCTATTCTAATAGAGCTACAGCTTACTGAAAAAGTAAAAAGAGAGATCAGAGTCTACTTATCAATAATTATATTCTTATTAAACTTATTCTTCATCATTGAAGTCTCTGATACTGATATCTTTGTCTGCTGAGAAGTTAGTGCTGTAGTACTGCAGAAGAGTATGCTGTAGAAGAGTATAAGAGATGCTTAAAGTATTAATTTATTAATTTATAAAGTATCTCAGTTATCTGCTTTAATTGAAGTGAGATTCTCTTTAATCAGTGATTAATCTTTACAGTGCTTTTAATAGTGATATCAGCTGATCTCTTCTTAGAGCTAGTTATTCTGAGATGTTTTTTCATCTTAGAGATTCACACTTTCATCTTCTTTTACAGATGAGTAAGAGAGATCTTCTCAGTCTTGACAGAATTTGTCAATACTTAAAGCTCTGAGACTCTCACTCTGTACTACTTAAGTATCTGAGCTTCTTATCAGAGCTGATATAACATCTTTCTATAAGATAATACTTATAGAGAGACAGAAGTTATTATTACAGATATAATAAAAATAATAGAAGTGAAAGAAGAGACAGATATATAAAATCCCACTTTTCTTCAGCTGCTTAGTATAGTGTAGATAAGTAGTAGTACTGATTAGAGACTGCACTGAAGCCTTTTCACAGAGAGAAGATGAAGAAACTATAAGACTCTGTGAACTCAACTCAGCAGTATCTTGAGCAGGGCTTGAGTATGTTATGAGAGAAGAACTATAGATTGAGCTTCTCAGAGTCACTGTTTCTGAAATCAAGCTCTCTCTGAGTTCCTCTCTGAATAATCACACAGAGTCATATGTCACTGTGTTAACTGAGAAGAGAGACAGTGTTACAATGACAGCAGAGAGAGTAGAGAAAGAACTGAATATAAATGAACTAACTAACAGAAGAAATGACATCTCACTGTAAGACACAGTGACTATCATCACAGCTGTAAGAGAAGTAGAAGAAGAAGAAGAAGAAGATGTGACAATGAGAGCAGTACTTCTGCAGCTCAGTGACACTATCATCTCTGTCTTCAATCTGGCTTTCTTAATAGTCACAGAGGCTGCAGTCACATCACAAAGACATTTGTTATTCACTAGAAAATGTCAGAATAAGCCTCTTATTATCTCTCAAGAATGATGCTCTCATGCACTTACTATTATAGATGAGAGAAGAGAGAGAAAAATGTGTTATAAGAGAGAGAGAATCTTTTTAAAAAATTCTATCACTACTGTTAGCTTTGTCTCTAAAATACATGACTTTTGCAGAGAATTTTATACATAGAATAGAATATAATAAGAGATCTATAAGTTACTTATTAACTACATTTTTCACATTTCAAATTGATATATGAGAAACTCACTTATCATATATTTAATTTGAATGAAGATGAGAAAAGAAAGATCTACACAGTCAGCAGAAAAACTTATCTATTTCTTTATACAGTATATACACTGTCAATTGAGTGATAACTATTACTATATAATAAAGATAATTTCTAATTCAGTAATCTTAAGAGTATTAAAACTATACTCTTAAAGAGAAGAGTATTATCATATCTCTGACTGTGTCAAGACTCTGCTGTGATTTTACACAGCTTATTACTTTCATACAGATGATTTTATCTCATTCAAATCAGTTTTCAATCACTCTATAATATTATTTGAATATATTATAGAAAGATCTAATTGATGAATATAAGAACTCTGCTTCTATACAAGATCAGCAGATTACTTTTCCTTGATAGTAAGATACTGTTAAGATATCACTTCAGCTATTCTCACTTATGAAATAAGAGAAGAGTATCTGCTCATTATCTATATAGAATAGCTAGATGCTGACTTCTCATTAAAAGAGTCAGTGATTTGTTTTTTCTACTACTGAAATATATATAAGAGTTACTGCATGTCTTATACAATCTTCTTAGTATACTAAGTATTATATCTGTGATATTCTTGCAATAACTCTGTAGTCTATGAGCTTGCTATTCAAGCAAGATAGTTAAGCTCACTCATACAGCTTCTCAAACAACTATCTCTATATAACATCACTGACTAGTCACTGCTTCAGTTTCACCACATTACAATTAATCTGAGATATTAAACAGTATCAGATACTTTATCTGAAACTGCAACTACTGTTCTTCTGTTATCTTATGAAAGAACTGTAGAAAAGATCTACTGAAATCACTTGATATTTCTGATAGAATCTGATGAGATATAGTAATTGACTTTACTATCAATCTATCTAAGAGTAAGAGTTATAGAAATATTCTGATCATTGTGAATTAATTAAGTAAAGATATAATATTAAAATCTTGTAATAAGATAAATACTGAACAAGTTACTGAAGCTTTTCTACAGAGTCTGTTCTATTGAATATATGAATTACTGAGATTTATAGTATTGAATTAGAATTATCAATTCATGAGTGCTCTCTGAACTAGAATCTGTCAAGTTCTCAAGATTATACACTGTCTGTTAACTGTCTATCACTCTAAGACTGATAATATATCAGAACAGATAATTCAGACTATAAAGAATTATCTTTATAAGTTCTGTAATCACTTATAAGATAATTGATATGATCTTCTTCTATACATAGAGATTGCTATCAACAGTTGAAATGCTGTTTTAACAGATATAAGTCTGTTCTTTCTTATATATGAATATTATATAAAAGTGTTAAATCTTCTAGAGATCACACAGTTCACACTGAACCTCTGCAGTCTGATTCAGATCACTGATAATATAGTAATAAAGCTCTGAGATGTCTGTAATTGAGCAGAGATCTTCATGACAACTGTAAAACAAGATTAAGAGAACTGAATCAATGTTTATCAAGACTTTGCAGAACAATATAAGATAGAAGATCTGATATAATTGAATCTTAAGAATATATGAATTATATGTTCATCTCATACACTGAATTACTGCTATATCAGGTATAAAGTGATAGAAGTTCTAAGTAGTCATAACTATTATCTTGACACATTATCAGAGATTCATAATATATTTTATACAAGCTTACTCTGCTGCACTATCACTGATTCATTTTCTTCTTAGCTGATTTCTGACTGACAGTCACTAGACATTATAGAAGAAGATAATGAGCTTGAGTAAGAGATTAAAAATATTCTTAATAAGGAGATTCTGTGGACTGTTAGCTAATAATATTTTTATGAAATGAGTCAGCTATAATTACTGATCTGAACTCTGAGTTCTGTATTATCTGAAACAAGCAGTTCTTGACTGATGAAACTACTTCTGAAAAGAGAGAACTAATGTAACAGACTGTACCTGATTAATTATATAGACTATTTCATTACACTTCACAGATTTCAATCACTTCATTCTTGAATGTATACACTTCAATTCTCAGCCATTCTCAATTGCTGATTCTCAGCTGTCACAAACACATACACTTCAATTCTCAGCTATTCTCAATCACTGATTCTCAGCTGCTATAAACGCGTGTATATTCTTTCACTCTGATGCTTCACTGCGTACATTATCATATACATATATAAATATTCATCTCAATCACTGATTCTCATACTTTCTCTTTCTTTCCTTCTTTAATGTTTTTATCTTTATTATATAAGACCTATTAATATTATACTGATCTATTCAGCGTAGGCCTCTTACAAGTTATATAATCAGATATTTCATTCTAATTAAAACATTGCATATTTATACTGATATTCTCATTAAAATTAATCTGCTTATTATTAAGAATATCATCTGTTTCAGATTATCTTACTGCAAGCAGAATCTCTTCTTTTTATATAGAATAATTTACAGAGTCAGTGAGTATAATAGACTTCTTTATAGATCTTACTTAATCTCTGAATTCATTAAGAATCTTTATTAATACAGATATTCTACTCTTTTATTAAAAATAGTTTATTAAATCTATACTGAACTCTTTATTTTCATCTCTGTCTATCTTTATTTACTTGACTTCATGCTGAAGTCTTGTAATTTCTAGTCTTATATAAGTCTTTTTACTCACAGAGCTATTATTATTTCAATTACTTGAGTTCTCTATATTATCTGATATCTCACTGATATTTTCAACTGAGTCTTTATATTTATTATTAAACTCATCAGACTGTTTCTCTGTGATAATTTCATTCAGCTTAAATATCTCAGAAGCTGTCTTTTAATTCATTATTAGTATTAACAGTAATCTATGATCTTGTATTTACTGCTCTGATATTTTCTTATTTCTTCATCTTGAAGACATGTATTCTTTTATTAAGTCAGATATTCTCTTAAATCTTAGATTAATTATAAGTTTAATCACTTAATAAATCATCTAGACATGCTTGTAATAATGTATGAAAATATTAATAATATGTTATTTTACAGCTTTTCATTGTGTAGAGAGCTTTATAATCTCTTGAAGAATAACATTATTATATTATATTATAATCTAACTACGCGAGTTACACTAAATGAATAGGTTGGGGTGGCACGTGACTAGGGTAGGTGTAGTAATCACCAACAATATTCTGTAGGCTACTGAGGCAAAAGAGCTCAATCACCACCAGCGCCTGCTGATAGAAGGGCCAACCAACTGTAGAACCCTCAACACCCCCTCTCAGACCAGCTATCACAGAGTACAGTACTTCCTCTCAGTAGCTCTCTTCAGTGATCTTCCCACAATGACTTCTTTTTAATAATGAACTCAGTCAGTTCTAGGGCTCACAGGACTTCTAGAGCACACTTCTGAGATATCTCTTGACACTGTTAAAATGTTCAGGATATTTATTAGGAATTTTTAAGTTCATTCTGGGATTGAACTCATGCATGTTGACCACAGCGGGGCTCACACTTAATGGTCTCATAACCTGTAGGCTACTGGGACAAAAGAGCTCAATCACCACCAGCGCCTGCTGGTAGAAGGGCCGACCAACCGCGGGACCCCCAACATATTCAAAGAGAAAAAAAAATATTTATAAGCAATTGTAATAACTAGTTTAACACCCCACTTCATGAGTAAGAGCTACTCTCTCTCACATCACGGCGTGGAACTTAATAAGAGGTATTTAAGAGGAGTCAGGAGCTCTAGACTGCATCTTTTCTTTTTAAACATCATATAAACGGAAAGCCTTGACATTGACGATATCTCGTTTTCTAAAGCTTTGGAAGAGAAAACGTCCACTAACCTACGGAAGCAACATGGCCTTATTCAGAGATATGGCGGGCATGAAGCCCTTGACTGCGACGACCACGGACAGTGTTCTGATCATCATTGACGCGCAAAACGAGTATGAAAACCCTTTCTATTCATTCATTCTTTCGTTCCATCATTCTCAAAACAAGGAAGAAATACAAGAGAATAAATATATGTCTATTTTGGGAACCATATCCATATCTGACGTCGCTCTCCCCTCTCACAACAAAATTTAGATACGCATGCGGGCTTCTGAAAGTCGACAATGTCGACAAAAGCCGCGTTATTATCAAATCTCTCCTTGAAAAATACCGTGCCACCGCCAAAGCCACGGGCAAGCAGAACCTTGTTCATATCGTCCATCAAACCGCCGCTGATGCGCCTGTATTCACCACTGGCACCACATTGGCGGATGAGTTTGAGGAGTTAAAGCCCTTGGAGGGTGAGAAGGTTGGAAATCCGTCTTCATTTAACAGCTTTTGAAGCGGAGAAGAGGATTCGTTGGATATCAGAGGCAGTGTCTGCGAGGTAGCGCTGACACCTCCATGTCCCATGAATAGGTTATCACCAAAAAGTTCCCCAGCGCATTTGCGGAGACGGATCTTCACGAATACTTGCAAAGCCTCGGTGCGAGAAAGATTGTATTGGTGGGGTACATGGTGAGTGGACTGATTTTCTTTTTGTTTTTCCCTGCTTTCGGAGGCCGTCCCAGGCGGCAAACATCAATTTTTGCCGATTGGACGCTAATTGCAGTCACCCAATGACTCTCAGGCACATGTCTGCGTATCTACCACAGCCAGAAGAGCTGCTGAGCTTGCTTATGATATCGTCGTCGCCCAGGATGGAGTTGGGGGTCGTCCTCTTGGCGAATATTCGGGTAATGAAATCGCCAAGGTAAGTCATGTTCTTCGCCTACCGCCTGCTACTATTTCGGACTGCTGCAGTGCTCTCTCTTTCGATTCCTATGCTAATAGCGATTCGCAGGTTGCTCTACTAGAAGTTGCGGACTTCTTTGGGACGCTGGTATGGAGCAAGGACATTAACTAAGGGCGCTTGGAACCATTTTTTTGCCTCCTCCAGTTCGGGCGTCTTCCTTGTCCGACAATGTTCTGATACGAATTGATGTCCCGCATACATTAATCCGTATATTTGATAAAAACTCAGCCAAACGTGACTACACGTTTGCGGAAACTCCCATTTTCCAATTGCATTATCAGTGAACCATTGGGTTTTGCTCTTGTGATGGTATAGAAATTATGTAATTTGATATGCAATCAGCTCTCTTCGGGTCTCCAAAATAAGCTTGATTTCCAAAATGAATGTATATTTGGGTCAAATGGTGGAAGTAGCATTGATCGTCTCGTCTTAAGGAATCGCAATAGGACTTGTTCATTATCATCGGGCCTAAATCCAGCTTCATGTCAGTTTTGTCGCAACGTTGAAATAGCAGTAATCAAAAAAAGTATATATTTCCGTACAGTCGAACTAGGTTTTCATCGTCTAGGGTGCCACCAAAAAAGAGGGCAGGGTTTGACGACAGCATATCCAGAATATGTACTCTCTCCGCACCAGGGGCATATAGGAATGTGCGCTCATTTATCAGGGTAAAAGCTGCGGGGTGCTGGACGACGCGAATGCCCGCATATTCGAGAAGCTGTTTGTCCAGTGCGTTGAAAACGGGATCCTGGGCAGAGCAGTCTTTGATGGAGATGGACGGAGTATCCTTGCGAGCTATGGGTGGCCAAATATCGCTTCGTGTTAGCTCTCAGCTCTTCCCGAAAAAGTCACAAATTCAGGGCCAAACTTGAGGTCAAACCACTCCCGGATCGGACCCTGGGTAATGCTGATACACCCCGTTCAGAAACGCACCAAAATATTCTAGCATCGTCACCAATGCGGCCAACTGGTAGAGAGACACAGCCCTGCGGTCAACCCACCCGCCTCTTAGGAATCCACTAGGGCTCCCCAAACCAACGCAGACGCAATTGTCCACTTTGCTAGCAGGGCCCGTCAAAAGTTCGTTGTCCAAGGCCGCCTTCAAAGCCTGCCAGCTCTGCGACTCCTCCCAGCATCTTTTGTGCCACTCAAACTGTTTCTTTAGTTTCTGGAAAGTCAATCCATCAGGGGACTCGGCTGGGACCAATAGGTCTTTGATTGGAGATAGAACGCAAAGCTTGTTAGATGCCGTTCGGTTTGTGGTCGTGATGTGTGTCCAGCCTTCTTCGTCATGGACCTGCACTCGCCTTGGCTGGCGAAATTTTCCCTTCCTGCGACAAGTCGGTTGGGTCGTCATCATAATGACTATATACCCCGGCCAGGAAGGGATATTCAAAATGTTGTCGTTCCTAGAAGATAGCGCTTGCTTGAGTCTGATTGAAAAGTACAAGGTTGGTCACATAATTTCGGGAATGGAGATTAGTCACCCAGGGCGTGTTCTATAACGTAATCAATCGGGTGTATACAGAAAACTTTGTTGGGGGTCCCGCGGTTGATCGGCCCTTCTACCAGCAGTGCGCTGGTGGTGATCGAGCTCTTTTGCCCCAGTAGCCTACAGGTTATGAGACTGTTAAGTGTGAGCCCCGCTGTGGTCAACATGCATGGATTCAATCTCAGAATGGACTTAAAAATTCCTAATAAATACCCTGGACATTTTAACAGTGTCAAGAGACATCCCAGGAGTGTGCCCTAGAAGTCCCTTTAAGCCCTAGGACTGAGTGGTCCAGTCCACTAAGAGGAGCCATTGTGGGGAGCCACTGAAGGGAGCCACTGAGAGAAAGTACTGTACTCTGTGGTAGCTGGTCCGAGGGGGGTGTTGGGGGTCCCGCGGTTGATCGGCCCTTCTACCAGCAGTGCGCTGGTGGTGATCGAGCTCTTTTGCCCCAGTAGCCTACAAACTTGACCTCGCTAAGTGCGCCACTTGACCTCATTACATAATCATGACCCCGACCTCGCACAATACAGTAATAATCAGTTGGTAATTAACTTTCAATCTTTCAATTCACTCATAGTCTCATTCATTCAACTCATCAATTAATCAAAGTGTGACAGGCTGCGCCTGATTAATTATATAGACTATTCTGTTACACTTCACAGATTTCAATCACTTCATTCTCAAATGTGTACACTTCAATTCTCAGCTATTTTCAATCACTGATTCTCAGCTGTTATAAATACATATGCTTCAATTCTCAGTCATTCTTGATCACTGATTCTCAGCTGCTATAAATATGTATAGATTCTATTATTCTTCCGCTCTGAAGTCTCATTATGTACATTATTACATATGTGTATAAATATTTACTTCAATTGCTGATTTTTATACTTTCTCTTTCTTTTCTTCTCTAATGTTGTTATCTTTGTTATATAAGATTTATAATATTATATCAATCTATTCAGTATAGACTTCTTACACTATAAAAACATTCATTGTCTTCTTATTAGAAATAATTATTCACATATTATATTCTCATTAGAAATGATTACTCACTGAGATATCTGAACATGTAATAATGTATAAGAAATAGAGAAATAGTTAAATAGTTAAGTAAACACTGAGTTCTTAGATAGAAGCTTACTTATCAGTTATTCTGACTCTGTAATAAGATTTAGACTGACTGCTGAAATTATGAATTTCATATTTAATCTCATTTAATCTGATCTTATACATTTCTTAGCATGAATTCTGCTGAGACTAGTCATTAAAAAAACATGCAAAGTAACTATATATCAGATCTTAAAATGAAATCATGACTTGAAAAAAATAAGAAAGTGATCTTATTTGATTTTATTTAGTCTCATTCTTGATATAAAGTTACTATTTTTAGACATTTTAAGGTTTTTTTTAGACTATTTTTAATTTTTTAAAAAGTAACACTTTTTGATAATACTCAAATGAGATTTAAAGTCATTTAAAGCAATAAAAATAATTTAAATTGAGAAGTGAAAATCATGATCTCATTTGAAAAATGTGATAAGAGTAGACAGTAAGTCTCACTGAGACAGTATGAAACTACTATCTAATGTTAAAACCATGTAATGAGATCTGTTGAATTGATAATAAAACTATTAAAAAATCTGATTCTGATCTCAGACACAGTTACATAGTCAGTTTAATAAGATTAGACTGGTCACTGAGATCATGAATTTCACGTTTGATCTCATTTGATCTGGTCTCATACATTTCTTGGCGTGAATCCCGCTGAGACTAGTCATTAAAAAAACATGCAAAGTGACTATATATCAGATCTTAAAATGAAACCATGACTTGAAAAAAATGAGAAAGTGATCTCATTTGATCTCATTTAGTTTCATTCTTAGCATAAAGTTACTATTTTTAGACATTTTAAGGTTTTTTTTCAACTATTTTTAATTTTTTAAAAAGTAACACTTTTTGATAATGCTTAAATGAGATTTAAAGTCATTTAAAGTAATAAAAATAATTTAAATTGAGAAGTGAAAATCATGATCTCATTTGAAAAATGTGACAAGAGTAGACAGTAAGTCTCACTGAGACAGTATGAAACTACTATCTAATGTTAAAACCGTGTAATGAAATCAGTTGAATTGGTAATGAAACTATCAAAAAATCTGGTTCTGGTCTCAGACACGGTCACACGGTCAGTCTAAATAAGATATTATAAAGAGAATATTAGTGAAAGATCTGAGAGTTCTGATACTTAGATATATAAGAATATAATTACACTTCTTCAGATTTCACAGATATTATATATTTAATAAAATAATATAATCATGTTTAATAATAATATGAGAGAACTCTTAAATATAAGTATAGAAGTAATATCACAGTGACTCTGAGTAATATTAAAATTATAATAATAATAGATAACAGATATACATACAATTCAGTAACTTTAATATAAAGAGATTTAATAATTAACTCATACAATTTCAACATCTACAGAATTGAATATAAAAGCACTGAAAGAACACTTATATAACATAGTAAAATCAAAGCAGTAACTAGTCAGTAATGTTATATAGAGATAGTTGTTTAAAAAGCTGTATAAGTAAGCTTAACTATCTTGCTTAAATAGTAAGCTTGTAAACTACAGAGTTATTATGAGAATATCACAGTATAATACTTAGTATACTAAGAAGATTGTATAAGAAACACAGTAACTTTTATATATATTTCAGTAGAAGAAAAATAAATCACTGACTTCTTTAATGAGAAGTCAGTATCTAGTTATTTTATATAGATAATGAGTAAATACTCTTCTCTCATTTCATGAGTGAGAATAGTCAGAGTGATATCTCAGTGATATCTCACTATTAAGAAAGAGTAATCTACTAATCTTATATAAAAGCAGAGTTCTTATATTTATCAATCAGACCTTTCTATGATATATCTGAATAATATTATAGAGTAATTGAAAATCAGTTCAGATAGAATAAAATTATTCATATAAAAGTAATAAGCTATGTGAAACTGTAACAGAGTCTTGATATAGTCAGAAGTATAATAATACTCTCTTCTTTAAAAGCATAGTTTCAATACTCTTAAGATTACTGAATTAGAAGTTATCTTTGTTATATAGTAATAGTTATCAATCAATTGACAGTGCATGTACTGTGTGTGATATAAAGAAATAGATGAGTCTTTCTACTAACTATGTAGATCTTTCTTTCTTATCTCTGTTCAAATTAAACATGTGATAAGTAAGTTTCTTATATATTAATTTAAAATATAAAAAATATAGTTAATAAGTAACTTACAGATCTCTTATTATATTTCATTCTATATATAAAATTCTCTGTAAAAGTAATATATTTTAGAGATAAAGTTAACAGTAGTAATAGAATTTTTTGAAAGATTTCTTTTCTCTGTAACATATTTTTCTTCCCTTCTTCTCAATTATAACAGTGAGTGTATGAGAGTATCATTCTTGAAAGATAATAAAGAACTTATTCTGATATTTTCTAGTGATTAAATGTCTTCATAATGCAGCTGCAGTCTTCATAACTGTTAAGAAAGCTAGATTGAAGACAGAGACAGCAGTATTAATAAGTTATAAAAGTATTACTCTTATTATCACATCTTCTTCTTCTTCTGCATCTCTTACAGTTATAGCAGTAGTAGCTGTATCTTGCAGTGAGATGTTATCTATTCTACTGACTGATTTATTCATGTTCAGTTCATTCTCTACTCTCTCTACTATTATCACAACACTGTCTTCTCTCTTAGTTAACACAGTGACATATGACTCTATGTGATCATTCAGAGAGAATCTCAGAGAGGGCTTGATTTCAGAGATAGTGACTTTAAGAAGCTTAATCTGTAGTTTCTCTCTCATAATATATCTGAGTTCTGCTTAGAATACTGCTGAGTTGAGTCTGCAGAGTTCTGCAGTTTCTTTATCTTCTTTCTATAAGAAGGTTTCAGTGCAGTCTCTGACTGATACTGTTATATATCTTCACTGTGCTAAGCAGCTGAAGAAAGAGAGAATTTTATATACTTATCTCTTCTCTCACTTCTATTATTTCTGTTATATCTGTAATAACAACTTCTATCTCTCTGTAAGTATTATCTACTCTATAAGAAGATATCATATCAGTTCTGACAAGAAGCTCAGATACTTAAGTAGTACAGAGTAAGAGTCTCAGAGCTTCAAGTATTAATGAATTTTATCAAGACTGAGAAAATCTCTCTTACTCATTTGTAAAAGAAGATAAAAGTGTGAGTCTCTGAGATGAAAAAACATCTCAGAATAACTGATCTTAAGAAAGAATCAGTCAGTATTATTATTGAAAACATTATAAAGATTAATCACTGATTGAAAAGAATCTTACTTTAATTAAAGTAGATAACTAAGATACTTTATAAATTAATAAGTTAATACTTTAAGTATCTTCTCTACAGTGCTGCAGTACTAACTTCTCAGTAGATAAAGATATTAGTATCAGAGACTTCAATAGTGAAAAATAAGTTTGATGAAAATATAATTATTAATAAGTAGATTCTGAGATTCTTTCTTTTTACTTTTTCAGTGAGCTGCAGTTCTATTAGAATAGCAGCAGCTCACAGATTAATAATATTAATCTTTATTAATTTTCAATATCTCTTTCTTTTCTTATTAACTGCTTCAGGAATTTTACACTTGTATAGTCTTATTAAACTTCTAAAAACTCTTTAGAAGAAAATAGAAGAAGAGTGCTATTGTAAGAGGCCTACGCTGATTAGATCGGTATTATATTAATAGGTCTTATTTAACAAAGATAAAAATGTTAGAGAAGGAAAGAAAGAGAAAGTGCGAGAATCAGTGATTAAGATAGATATTTATACGCGTATATAATGGTGTATGCAGTGGAGCTTCGGGGTGAAAGAATATACACACATTTATAGCAGCTGAGAATCAGCAATCAAGAATGACTGAGAATCAGAGTGTATGCATTCAAGAATGAAGTGATTGAAATCTGTGAAGTGTAACAGAATAGTTTATATGATTGATCAGATGCAGCTCATCACATTAGCTCTCTCTTTTCAGAAGCAGTTCTCATCAGTCAAGAGCTGCTGTTTCAGATAATACAGAACTCAGAGTTCAGGTTGATTAATCATTGCTGACTCATTTCACAAGATATTATCAGTTACAGCTATGTAATCTCTTATCAAGAATATCTTCAATCTCTTACTCAAGCTCATTATCTTCTTCTATGATCTCTGACAGTTATCAGTCAGAAGTCAGTTAAGAAGAGAACAGATCAGTGATAGTGCAGTGAAGCAAGCTTATATGAAATACATTATAAATTTCTGATAATATGTTAAGATAGTAGTTGTGACTATTTAGAACTTCTATTACTTTATAC